GTATCTACACAAATTCTTTTGTTTGAAATGAACGCTGCACACGTCACCTTTCCAACGATATGTCTTACGGAGATGGCGGTATTAATGACAAAACTTTACGCCGCTTCTAACGCCATCTATTGCACCTCCGCACGAACTTTTGCACTCACCCAATACTTTCCCGCAGTAACGTTTGCCGCGACTTGCTGAGCGTTTATTAGCTCAGACAAATTAATTAATTTTTCATTAAATATTGCAAATTTTGCAAAATAGTACTTAACGTTTCTGCTCACCATATGAACCGAGAATGTTTGGAACAATATGTACATATGCTTTCCAAAAGCAAAACCTTATTTATGAAGCAAAGTGAATGCAAAGTGCACATGCAAAATAATGCATTAACAGGGACAACGGTTTCTTAATTAACGGGACATTAATTAACAACATTAACCAACAACATTTAAAACTGAGTTAAATTAACTTTGAATATAAATAATTATATAAGTGTCGCATTCGCATACATTTTTATTCACATAATATACATTAGATAACTAATCTTTTTTTGAGTACTCTCTTGGTCACTTACACGACTTCGTCAAATTGGAAAATATCTCTGTGATATATTTACGACTCACACATATTATTTATGTGGTAATCATGAAAAAAATTTAATATAAAGAAATATCTTATAGTTGTAATTAGAATTTATTTTGTTCCAAATTTATGTTTTTTAGTCCAAATGCGTAATAACATATGTAATGTATACGAGGTCTGTTCAAAAAGTATCGAAAATTTTTTGTTTTTTCAAAAATTATTTATTTATTCATGAATATCTATTTTGTCTCCTTCAAAGTAATTCCCATCAGATATTATACACTTGTGCCAACGTTTTTTCCAATCCTCGAAGCACTTCAAAAAATCATTTTTTGTGATCTTGTTCAACTCCTCCTTTGATGCTGTCTTTATCTCCTCAATCGTAGCGTAGCGTCGTCCTTTCATGTGCCTCTTCAGTTTCGAGAACACGAAAAAGTCACAGGGGGCCAGGTCTGCGGAATACGGTGGCTGCGGCATCATTAGTGTGTTGTTTTTGGCCAAAAATTCGCGCACAAGCAACGATGTGTGAACAAGGGCGTTGGTACGAATTTCGCGGCGACCCATCTCATGCCAAAATCATTTGTAAAAATCGAATGGCACAAGCCAATCGATATGTTTAGGTCCTCAGCAACTTCTCTAGCAGTGATTCGACGACTGGCCAATACTATTTTCTTCACTTTATCAATGTTTTCGCCTGTTGTTGACATGCTCGGGCGTCTGACACGCTCTTCGTCGTTCACATTTTCTTGGCCCTCTAAGAACATTTTGTACCACCGATAAACGTTGCTTCGGTCCAAGGTAGCTTCACCATATGCCACAGTCAACATTCGGAATGCGTCCGCGCACTTAATTTTGTTTTTCACACAAAATTTGATACAGATTCTTTGATCCATTTTTTGGAATAGGCAAAAATCGAAAACGAGCCAAAAACGTCCAAGCAAAAGATAAACTGAATATTCAAAATGGCTGAACTTGTCGGCATAAGTGAGGGACATATGTACCAACATAACGCCACAAAAAAATCGAAAATCGAATATACGTAACCCGCAGAAATTCAAAATTCGCGATACTTTTTGAACATACCTCGTATATACAGGGTGTCCCATTTTAAACGCCGCGAGCAAATAAAATCGAAAAATATGAAATATACAGAAAAATGTTCCAAACAAAAGTTGCATGGTTTGAAGGGGGTTATATGTCGAAAATATCGACTTGATCTTGAGTAACCTTCTCAAGGCCAGGTCAATATCATCGATATATTCTTAAATGGAACCTCCCATTTTTATTGTACATTCTTGTAGCTCTTGGCGAGACGGTGAAATGCTGTGCCGTAAGTGCTGACTTCATCGACCGGGACAAATGGTAATCGGAGGGAGCGATGTGTGGGAAATATGGCTGGTGGGGTAGGATTTCCCAGTTAACTCTTTCTAAGTACTTCTTGACTGGTTAAGTAATATGCGGCCTAATGTTATCGTGCTGCAAAATCAACTTGTCGTGGCGATTCTCCCATTCCGGCCTCTTTTCGTGCAGAGCTCGCTTCAAACAAACTAGTTGCAGTTGATATCGATCCCCAGTGATTGTTTCCGACGGTTTCAGCAGCGGTTTCCATTTTTTCAGTCCTCAAATTTGGGTGATTTTCTCGGTCCTTGTTATCCATAGAGAAATCATCACTTTGGAAGCAGCGAAATCACTCTTTGCACGTCGAACTTGGTAGAGCATGTTCGGCATAGACTTTCTCCAGTAAATGATGTGTTTCCGCGGGCGATTTCTTTTACAGGAAATAATGGACCATAACTTTTCGCAAATGTGACTTATTTGGAACAAAACTTGCCATTGTAAACTCAATCAGTACAGATGATATTAACTAGTCACACAAATGTCACTTATGGCGTTTCGACGGAACTTTATAGACCTGTCATCATGTGTATTGCCAACTTTCAATACAAAAAGATAGTGTACCTAACGCCATCTATTACCAGCAGGCGGTTATATATGCTACAACCTAATACTATTCGCTTATTACACTTTCTTTCACTGATACATCTTATTATTGCATTTTGGTCATTATCACAATTGTATTTCTGGTTAGTTTTATAGTGCTCAATTATCGTCCGGGAGAAATTGTGGGCATGGCCCTTTGCTTAGGAGCAAGTGGTGGTAATTCTCGATAGGTTTCACGTATTTATGCACAACGACACTCAGGAAGAAGACACCCAGATTATAAAACAATTAAACGTTGTGTTCAAAGATTAAAGGATGGCCATATAAAACGTCGTCGTCGTCAAGTTCCATCTCTTCGTGAAATTGGTGTGTTAAGAGTTGCTATATTAATTCCTAATACTAGCCTCAGACAAATTGAACGTTTTCATAATATACCACGTGTATCTGCATCGCGATATTTGAGATATTAGGTAAATTGGAAAGTTCCGTCCATCTAGCAGCGAAAAGCTATAGCTAGAACTGTCGATAATTCTAATGTCTAAACCAAGTTTAATTTTTTAGTTTTACCATCTGTGAATAAAATTCAGTATATAAAGGTATACGTTCGCATCAATAACATTTTTTCTTATTGCATCGAAAATGTCAAAATTTGAGTCAAATAAGCGTCATTTGTGCGAAGTGTTAATCTCTTGTTTCAAATGGAAGGAAACTGCAGCTGAAGCTTGTAGAAGTTTATGATGACAGTGCTTCTTCCGATAAAACATGCAGAGAACGGTTTTGATGCTTTAGAAGTGGTGATTTTGATGTGGAAGACAAAGAGCGTTCTAGACGGCCAAGAACATTCAAAAACAAAGAATTGCAGGTTTTCGTGGATGAAGACTCATGTCAAACGCAAACACAACTTGCAGAAACACTAAATTGTGCTCAGTCTGTCATTTGCAATCGCTTGAAAGCCTTGGAAAAAGTCTACAAGGAAGAAAAATATTAGGTTGGTACAAATGAAATGGCCGTTTTCAGTGTTTTGAATTTCCTACCCCTATAGATTAATTTTCTTTCATAAAGAGGACGGTGTATATTTACTGTGTGAAAAGTATATGATCCACATGTGATTTAGCGCACATAACTTTATTTCTATTGGGAGTACAAATTAGTTCGGTCCGTTTTTTTGTGGTCAAAAATGCATTTATTTCAGAACAAAATAAATGAACAGATTAATCAAAGTATAGTCCATCGCTGGCTACTACTTTTTCCCATCTCTCAGGCAATTTTCGAATTCTATCTCGAAAAAATGTCTCGTCTTTTGAGGCGATCCAAGTTGGGAGCCAATTTTCGATTTCTGCGAAATAAGTGAACCGGTGACCTGCCAAATCGTATTGCACCCGTCGGAACAACCAGTAATCAGAAGGAGCAATGTCCGGCGAATACGGCGGGTGCGGTAAAATATCCCACTTGAACGTTTCTAAATAATTTTTTACGACTTTTGCGACATGAGGCCGAGCGTTATCATGCAGAAGAATGAGGTTTGTCTTCAATGCTGAAATCACTATTCTTTAAACGTCGAAACCATTCCCTACAAAGTTTATCAGTTGGAGTATTGTCACCATAAACTTCTACAAGCATTCGATGCGCTTCAGCTGCACTTTTCTTCCAATTAAAGCATAAAACTAAAACCCCCCCGCAAATGCCGCTTAGTTAACACAAAATTTGACATATTCAACACAGTAATAAACAGAGGTTTTGTATGAAACTCAAAGTGATATAAACTGAATATTATTGACAGATGTCTAACCTCTCTGAAACCACCAAAATCAACTGTCACTATGAAACATTCATAACAGCCAGAGCCATCTTTGGAAAACGGACCGAACTAATTTGTACTCCCAATATACTGTACTATTAGTCATAGAAGTTTACATTAACGCTGTGATGGAAAATAGAGAAATTCATATAATTTACTTATACGAGTTCAAACTTGGTCATACTGCAGCCGATGTAACGCGTAACATTGATACTGCATTTGGTGAAGGTACTGTAAGTGAAAGAACGACCAAACGTTTATTTGAAATATTTCGTTCTGCGGACACAAACCTCGACAATTTGTCTCGCGGACACGCACCTTCCGTCATTGATAACGTTGTTTTGAAGGAGATGGTTGAAACAGATCCAAGGTTAACAGTCTCAAAGATTGTCAAAAGATTTGAAGTTGGTCATTCAACTGCCGTCCGATGTTTAAACAAGTTGAGAAAAGTGAAAAAGTTGAGTAAATGGGTCCCCCATGAAATCATAGAGAGAGACAAATTGAGACGTTTGGAAATCTGCATTTCTTTGCGGTTGCGTCAGAATACAGATGGAATTTTATACAGGATTGTGACTTGTGATGAAAAATGGATTTTGTACGATAATCACCGATGTTCTGCACATTGGTTAGATGCGAATGATGCTCCAAAATACATTCCAAAATCGAATCTTCACCCCAAGAAAATGATGGTGTCTGTATGGTGGTCTAGCAAAGGTATCGTTCATTATTCACTTACCAAACAAGGTAAGATTATAAATTCTGATAAGTACTGTCAGGAAATTACCACCATGCACCAAAAACTGTGCGCTCAACAGCCAGCATTCAACAGACACGGCATGTTGCTATTGCACGATAACGCTAAACCACATATGCAAAACAAACCTTTCAAAAACTTGCCGAGTAAACATTGAAGTTCTCCTTCATCCTCCTTATTCTCTAGACATCTCACCAACAGATTATCATCTTTTCAAGCATCTGGATGCGTTTTTGGTAGGCAAAAATTTCAATGAAGAAAGAAGTGTGAAAAATGTATTTAAGGAGTTTATCGATTCACGCTCTCTAGATTTTTTTAAAAAGTGCATTGATGCATTTGGATCACGTTGGCAGAAATGCATTGGAGTATTTGGATGCTATTTCGATTAGTTATGTAAGTTTTAAATTTGAAAAATACAAGTTTCAACTTTATATTTATAAACGGCCATTTCCACCAACCTAATAGGTCCCATATAAACTGAAGCCAAATGACATCGAAAGGCGAAAAACCATCTGCGAAATTCTGCTTGCTAGGCAACAAAGAAAGGGATTTTTGCATCGTATCATCACTGGGGATGAAAAATGGATATATTTTGACAACCCTAAACGTCGAAAACCATTTGCGACCACGACCAATTCTCAACATCGCAAAAGCGGAATATCCAAAGAAAGAAGGCAATGCTCTGTCTTTGGTGGGATCAGAAGGATGTAGTGTACCATGAGCCAGAAAGTGGTCAAACAGTCACAAAGCGTCTCTACCGAGAACAAATTATCCGAGTTTAAGCCGAGCATTGCACGAAAAACGACCAGAATATGAAACGAGACAGCATAAAGTGATTTTGCTTCATGACCACTCTCGGCCTCACGTCACAAAACTTGTCAAGGAAACGTTATAAGCACTTCGGTGGAAAGTGCTACCCCATGCGGCTTATTCATTAGGCTGTGCCCCTTCCGATTACCACTTTTTCGGCTGATGGCACACGAACTTGCTGAAGAACGCTTCAATTCTTACGAAGACATAAAAAAAATATGTCTCTGACTGGATAGCTTCCGAAGATGAGTCATTCTTTCGCCGTGGAATTCGCATGCTGACCGAAAGATGGGAAAAAAGTCATCGCTAACGATGGACAATATTTTGATTGATATACTTTTTCATTTTGTTTCTTAAATAAAACCATATTTTTTGCAAAATAACAGACGGAACTTTCCGATTTAGCTAATACAATAAATTCTACCTATATCGCATTATCCTGCATCAAGAGATNGAGACATTTGTATTTTGACGCTCACTTCATACCGGTACACCTAGTAAATAAATAATAATGACCATCGTTGTAGATTGTGCTTTTGCCAATGGGCCCGTCGACAAATGAATGAAGAGCTCAATTTCTTTTTATTCAT